AGGTATGGAAGACTGGCTGAGGTAGGTGAGGTGTAGAAATTAACAGTCTGGCCTTGGATATGTTAGGTTTGAGATACCTGTGAGATATCCAAGCGGAAATGTAAAATATGGAGCTAGATATTTACTCTGGAGCTCAAAGGAAAAGTCTTTGTTAGAGATACAAATTTCAGAGTGGTCAGCACGTAGAAGTGGCATTTGAAACCATGGGAATGGATGATATCAAGAGAGAGACCATAGCGAGAGCATCCAGGACAGGGTTGAGTGCCCAGGAGCTCCAATATTTAGGAGTCTTATGTACAAGGAGGAGTTAGCCTAAGAAGGAATAGCTGTGAGATGCGGGAAATCCAGGAGAGCATGGAGCCACAAAAGCCAAGAAAGAGGTAAAAGCGAAGACATTACCTTTTTAAGGTAACTTCTTTCTGAGGAAATTACCTAAGGACATACAATAAAATAAGGTTGTAACCAAGAAAGAGGAAGATACAGATTATAAGAAATAGTAAAACTAACCTAGGGATCCAGTGGCAGTAACTCCGGAATGACAGCCATGTAGTGGGCCTAGGAAGTATTCACTTTAAATTAGCCCAGGAAAGGAAGTGTCCTTTGAGAAGAATGTAGTCAAGGAGAATGGAATAGATTATTCACAGATGATTCAGTAAGGAGTAGGGGGAAAATATCAGTGGGAGTGATAAATAAGGCCCATATAAGGCCCCACCCAAAATAAAGAGAAAGCCTAGAAAAAAGAAGCACAAGAGAGTTATGATCTCAAATGCAAAGCTGACTAAAATGTGAGCGCGATAGAATGTGAGCATCAATTTGACGATGAGGGAACAATTCACAAGATGTATAAATATATTATGTAAAATTATACAGGCAACTAGTCGAAGAACTAAAAATAGTAATAAATTAATCCAAAATCAGAGAAGACTTTGAGTTAAATATTTTTAAAACAGGGAGTCAATAGAAAATGACTAGAGTTGAAAATGAAGAAGGTAACCAACAAATAAATTAAAAATGGAAATTGTTGTGTGTGGTTGCCAAGGGAAGTGAAGCCAGAGGCAAGAAGTGTGACAGAGAAGGGCTTTTTCTTTTCTTTGTCAGTCTTTCTGTACTGTTTGTTTATCACACATGTTATTAATTTGATGGGAAAAAACAGTAATGGGAGATAAATTAGTGAGGACAGAGTTTGTATAACTTACTGATGTAATTTGATAATGAATTGCTAGAGAGTGGGTGTGAGATCAAGAGGTATATCCTCTCTCTTTCTCTCCCTCCTTCTCTTCCTTTCTTCTTAAGTTAAAATGAGAGATATTGCAGTATGTGTGTTTATCGAAGGTGATGTTCCAATGTAGCAGTGGCTCTCAAAGTTTGGTCCCCAGACCTGCAGCATCAGTATCACTTAGGAATTTGGAGACATGCACATTCTTGGGCGCCATCCCAGATTTACTGATTCAGAAATTTTGGGAGTGGGGTCCTGCAGTCTGTGTTTTAAAAAGCCCTCCAGGAGTTTCATATGCTTACTAACATTTGAGAACCTCTACAGCAGAGTATTATATAATAACATAATTACTGTGAAATAAATTTCAGTAATTTTGTGTAGTTTGTCAAATATCCAGCTTAAAACCTTTTTCTTTGTTTGCTTAGGTCAGATGCCNAAAAGTGCAAAATTCAAGGTCCCATTTGTGAAGTCAAAACAATTT